ACATTTACACGAATCATAAATTAGACTCCTTCTCTGTTATCCAGCGGAAATTTCATCTTCCTGATAGGGAACAATATACCTATATGCGCATAACCCACTCCATTAACACAGCAAAAATACCAATCGAAATAGAGACTCCTGCAACTACACAGAATTTCTATCAAAGGAAACAGTATCCTAAGAAAGGAATTTCGACCTTCTATTCACTCATTACCGAGACACAATTTACTACACATACTTCTTCCTTAATCAATTGGGAGCAGAATCTTTGCCAAACAATAACCCCATACATTTGGGAAAAAACATTTGCCATCACCTTTAAAGCTTCCAAATGTAGTTCCCACTGGGAAACATATTTAAAAATACTACATCATTGGTATCTAACCCCAACTAAATTAGCCCTCTTTTACCCTCAACATGCGAACACCTGCTGGAGACATTGCGGAGAAAAAGGAACACTTCTCCACATCCTTTGGGCATGTAAATCGCTCAAGTCGTACTGGAACAAAGTATTCCAGATAATTTCCTTACTCTCTGGAACTTTAGTAACTCCAAATCCCGCCTTGGCGCTTCTCCACATTGGAATAGACACATTCCCGATAAACGTACGTACCATTATCATCCACATCTTAGCAGCTGCAAAAACTAACATCACCAGACTATGGAGATCCATCACCGTCCCATCAGTGTCCCGCCTCATATCTGACCTTAACCTCCAATGTGCAATGGAGAGAAGAATAGCAATTAATAATTCCTCCCTCCACAAATTTACAAGTCATTGGTCGCGATGGTTAAACAATCCCAGATGCGTAATAACATGATTACTATCTGTAATGGATATAATACTCCATACCATTACTTCATTGGTGCTCTTCCTCTTCCCCCCCCCCTCCCCCCCTCTCTCCATGTTTTTTCTTACGCTCCATCCCCCCCTTAATTTCATGTTCCCCCCAATATTTACACCTCACTAGTTTTCTTGAACGGTTCACAACAGACCGAGCATACCTCTCATGTAAATAAATTAAGGATACACAGGCTCCCGGCCACTAGGTGGGGAACCTTCTCTTGTCTCTTAACTTTTCTTTCCATGTCTCAATTTTCTCAAATGTGAATCGAACAAGATTGATCATTGCATTTTACTTTGTTTCTTTTTTCTTCTTTGTATGTTAAAATTTCAATAAAAATATTTGAATATAAAAAAAAAAACAGCTGTGTTGAGAGTGCGCTCCCCCAACACATTGGCTGGTGGCTAACGAAAGCACCCGATCGCTACTTGCAATCAAAGTTTTCCGATCATGTGACTGCTGTGACAATGACGGTGGTCACATGATCATAAACCCCACCCTGCTTCCTGGCATCTGAAATCCCTTAAAGGGTCGGGAGGTGGTTAACCCAAAGGGGTTAACATTCCTGCTTGTTTTAAAGTGCTAACCACAAATGTTTCAGATGGCCATGATTTTGTCATAAACTATGTTATTAGAGAATGCTAAGGTGCCAGAGGTTGTGTGACCAGTTGCTGTGTAAATTCCTTCTTTTTCTACCCCTGTTCATCACTCCATAGACCCAGACAGCTGGGTGGGAGTAAGCAGTTGTGTCAACTGTGATCACCTGCCAAAGCCAGTTGTGTCCATCACTGCACCCTTACGTGATGCAGTTCAGCCAATCACAGGGTAGTGGGCGTCAATGTCAACAGCCACACATGACCCAGTTCTGCCAGTCACAGAGGGCGCCAATCAGTGAGCCTGGACAGGTAGGTAGGCTCACAGGCGCTGGTATCACGGATCATGGAGAACGGCGGAGGTGGAGCAGTCAATGGCACACTCTGGAGTCGGGACGGCAGGATTTGGGACTTTTCTGTGCTCCTTTAGATGTTGCACCTGGGTCGATGACCATAAAACTCTATGACCAATATTAGTGCTGTCCTTGGATATTGGGCTTCATAGCAAATAGATCTAATTCAGAAACATTTGCTTCACACTACACTCATGTGACTGCTGTGACAATGACGGTGGTCACATGATCATAAACCCCACCCTGCTTCCTGGCATCTGAAACCCCTTAAAGGGTCGGGAGGTGGTTAACCCAAAGGGGTTAACATTCCTGCTTGTTTTAAAGTGCTAACCACAAATGTTTCCAGATGGCCATGATTTTGTCATAAACTATGTTATTAGAGAATGCTAAGGTGCCAGAGGTTGTGTGACCAGTTGCTGTGTAAATTCCTTCTTTTTCTACCCCTGTTCATCACTCCATAGACCCAGACAGGATTCGGGACGGCAGGATTTGGGACTTTTCTGTGCTCCTTTAGATGTTGCACCTGGGTCGATGACCATAAAACTCTATGACCAATATTAGTGCTGTCTTGGATATTGGGCTTCATAGCAAATAGATCTAATTCAGAAACATTTGCTTCACACTACACTCACTGAGGGAGACAATATAAAGAAGGAATATAAACAACGGTTAGTCACGCCCTTCTAGATCTCAGTCCAAGTTCAAAAAGTGATAGGGAGAGTACATCCCTCACATTTTTGTAAATATTATATTATACCTTTTCATGTGACAACACTGAAGAAATTACACTTTGCTACAATGTAAAGTGATGAGTGTACAGCTTGTAAACAGTGTAAATTTACTGTCCCCTCAAAATAACTGAACACACAGCCATTCATGTCTAAATCACTGATAACAAAAGTGAGAACACCCCTAAGTGAAAATGTCCAAATTGGGCCCAATTAGCCATTTTCCCTCCCCGGTGTCATGTGACTCATTAGTGTTACAAGGTCTCAGTTGTGAATGGAGAGCAATTGTGTTAAATTTGGTGTTATAGCTCTCACTCTGTCATATTGGTCACTGGAAGTTCAACATGGCACCTCATGGCAAAGAACTCTGAGGATCTGAAAAAAAGAATTGTTTCTCTACATAAAGATGGTCTAGGCTATAAGTAGATTGCCAAGACCCTGAAACTGAGCTGCAGCACGGTAGCCAAGACCATACAGTGGTTTAACAGGACAGGATTCACTCAGAACAAGCCTTGCCGTGGTCGACCAAAGAAATTGAGTGCACGTGCTCAGCATCATATCCTGAGGCTGTCTTTGGGAAATAGATGTATGAGTGTTACCAGCATTGCTGCAGAGGTTGAAGGGGTCAGCCTGTCAGTACTTAGACCATACGCCGGTCACTGCATCAAATTGGTCTGCATGGCTGTCGTCCCAGAAGGAAGCCTCTTCTAAAGATGATGCACAAGAAAGCCCACAAACAGTTTGCTGAAGACAAGCAAACTAAGGACATGGATTACTGGAACCATGTCCTGTGGTCTGATGAGACTTATTTGGTTCAGATGGTGTCAAGCGTGTGTGGCGACAACCAGGTGAAGAGTACAAAGACAAGTGTGTCTTGCCTACAGTCAAGCTTGGTGGTGGGAGTGTCATGGTCTGGGGCTGCATGAGTGCTGCTGACACTGGGGAGCTACAGTTCATTGAGGGAACCATGAATGCCAACATGTACTGTGACATACTGAAGCATAGCATGATCCCTTCCCTTCAGAGACTGGGCCGCAGGGTAGTATTCCAACATGGTAATGACCCCAAACACACCTCCAAGATGATCACTGCCTTGCTAATGAATCTGAGGGTAAAGGTGATGGACTGGCCAAGCATGTCCCCAGACCTAAACCCTATTGAGCATCTGTGGGGCATCCTCAAACAGAAGGTGGAAGAGCGCAAGGTCTCTAACATCCTGCAGCTCTGTGATGTCATCATGGAGGAGTGGATGAGGACTCCAATGACAACCTGTGATGCTCTGGTGAACTCCATGCCCAAGAGGGTTAAGGCAGTGCTGGAAAATAATGGTGGCCACACAAAATATTGATACTTTCTGCCCAATTTGGACATTTTCAATTAGGGGTGTACTCACTTTTGTTGTCAGCGGTTTAGACATTAATGGCTGTGGTGTTGAGTTATTTTGAGGGGACAGCAAATTTACATGTTATACAAGCTGTGCGGGCGGCACAGTGGCTTAATGGTTAGCACTTCTGCCTTGCAGTAATTGGGTCATAGGTTCAATTCCCAACCATGGCCCTCCTGCATGGAGTTTGCATGTTCTCCCTGTGTTCGCGTGGGTTTCCTCCGGGTACTCCGATTTCCTCCCACACTCCAAAGACATGCTGGTAGGTTAATTGGCTCTTGTCTAAATTGTCCTAATTTCATCCCTGGCCATGTGGGATTTCCTGCATGGTAGGGGTTGGGGAAAGACCTGGCAACCTACCCTGTAAAATAATTGCTAAGAGAATTCATGGAAAAAAGTTGTGACGGTCCATGCAATCGCCAAGGGTCAGATATGACTGAATGGATAGATAGATAGACAAGCTGTGCACTCACTACTTTACATTGTATAAAACGTGTCATTTCTTCAGTGTTGTCACATGAAAAGATATAATAAAATATTTACAAAAATGTGAGGGGTGAACTCACTTCTGTGAGATATTGTATCAATGATGAACTCCCATACATCCTCCAATATAAATATCAAATAAATTGAGGATACATACTCCAATATGCAGCAGTCTTTACTTCAAACCATCATGCACATTGCAATCCATATGGCATATAGCGACTGTACAGTTTCAAGCATCCCTGCTCTTTAAGCTGTAGGCAAATATATTGCAAACATAATCGATCCTATATACTCATAGGATGTGGCCGCACATGTGTTGTTTCTCCACCAAAATGTACATAATTAACTATATATTATCATAAACAAGACAAACAAAGAACATCTCAACTCATTCATCATGTCTTTATGGACCTTGTTTTGTGTACTGGTGCGCAGTCATGTTAGAACAGGAAAGGGCCATCCCCAAACTGTTCCCACAAAGTTGGTAGCATGAAATTGTCCAAAATGTCTTGGCATGCTGATTCCTTAAGAGTTCCCTTCACTGGAACTAAGGGCCCAAATCCAACCCCTGAAAAAAAAACCCACACCATAATCATCCCCTCCACCAAATACTTTACACTTGGCACAACGCAGTCAGGCAAGTACCATTCTCCTGGCAACCCCCAAACCCAGACACATCCACTGGATTGCCAGACAGAAAAGTGTAATTCGTCACTCCAGAGAACACGTCTCCACTGCTCTAGAGTCCAGTAGCGGCGTGCTTTACACACTTTGCATTGCACTTGATGATGTAAGACTTGGATGCAGCTGCTCGACCATGGAAACCCATTCCATAAAGCTTTCTATGCACTGTTGTTGTGCTAATCTGAAGGCCACATGAAGTTTGGAGGTCTTTAGATATTAATTCTGCAGACAGTTGGTGACTTCTGCTGCGCACTGTGCACATCAGCATGCGCTGACCATGCTCTGTCATTTTACGTGGCCTACCATTTCGTGGCTGAGTTGTTGTTGTTGTTCCCAGTTGCTTCCACTTTGTTATAATATCACTAACAGTTGACTGTGGAATATTTAGTAGCAAGGAAAATTCAAGGATGGACTTATTACACAGGTGGCAACCCACGCTTGAATTCATTGACCTCCTGAGATTGACCCATTCTTTCACAAATGTTTGTAGAAGCAGTCTGCATGCCTAGGTGCTTGATTTTATACACCTGTGGCCATGGATGTGATTGAAACAGCTGAATCCATAGATTTGGAGGGGTGTCCCAATACCTTTGGCAATATAGTGTATATTCAAAATATTAATTAGTATTCCTTCAATGGTTTTTAACTACAATTTCTCTATTCATGCTCCAAACACCTGAAAAAGAACATAACGAGTGTGGACAGATAAATATATGTCCATAGGTTATCCCAAAAGGTTAGCCTATTTACAGAAACAAATACAGCTCATAATCACTATTTAAGCCATGAGGGTGCAGTGATCTTCATTGGTTTATTCACCATAACTCTCTCTGCTTTAATATTAAAATCCTGTCACCTCCTCTCCCATCTCTAGTTATTTCTTCCAAAATCATAAAATGCAAATCAGAATCTTTATGTCTTTGTTTCATGAAATGTTTGGGTACAGGCAAGCCTGGTTGTTTCCCCCCAAATGGAACTGCGGTGTTGGGCTATACGGTCTTTAATTTTTGGAGTGGTTTCCCCTGCATAAATCAAATTACAGTGAAATATTACTATATACACCAAATATGGATGATTGACAAGTATGAAATCCTCTAATTCTATATTCCTGTTCACTATTTGGGTGGATGAAGCTTTCCTGTTTCCTGATCAGGTTACATTGAATACAACTCAAACATGGGAAAGTACCGTTTCGTTTTTTTACCCAAAAAGGTTGTTCTAGTCTCCTGTTTACTAGTCCTGAAATCCGTGTGCACTACGATATCCCTTAAAGTTCTATTTTTTAGGAAAAGCTTTCGATGGCAACTGTTGTAATACATCAATTTTGGGATATGCATTTCCCGTAGGCAGAGACACAGAAATGAACATTTACCGTTCTCTATTCAGGTTCACAGCTATAGTGAGGATATTTTTAAAATCATTAAAAAACATTGGGCTTTGTTACAACTTGCATATCCTGAGATTGATGTTTTACAACAGTTGTGTGTGTATATATATATATATATATATATATATATATATATATCAACCATATACAGTCTAACACATTAATACAGTCTGAGAGCAGACTCTAATTACACATGTTGTATAGCACCTATAAATTACATCAGATATAGCGAGACAAGCATAGCCTGTAGATACATGTTATACCAAGGAAAGTAAATGCATTCCATCTAGACCCTAGACTGTTGATGGTGGTTGGCCATGCTGCTGGAGAAGCCCTGTGTGAAGTGTAAGAAAGGTTTTGGTTATGCATTGTTGGATTTTCTTTTTTTTTTTCTTCTTCTGGGATTTTTGTTATTATGTTAGGGATTTTTTACCTTTTTTTTGGCAAGAAAATCCTTTTTTATGTTTTGCAGCATCTTAAAGGAATATTCAGTGCTGGGTTTCACCTACTACCTCCTGTGAGGTCTTATTCCTTGGCTTAAATATGTATCTACAGACTACTGTATGTTTTTCTTTAAATATCTTGTGTAATTTACAGGTTCATAACAACATAGTGTATTTAGTCTGCTCTCAGACTCTGTATTAATGTGATAGAATGTATATGGTTGGGCATATTGCAGATGTTGCACAGAGTGGGGTTAATTTACTAAAGGAAAGTAAGCTGTTCACTTTGCAAGTGAATGTTAGAGCTTAGTAAATGTGTGACAATTCACTTTGTAATGAATACCCAATCATGTGTGTAGCGGGCCATTGCGGTTTCCCTTTTAAGACTGCATGCTGTCAGAAATGGTTTGGTTGTCTCAGCTCTCAGATCTTAGCAGTGCTGGCGTGTTTGTGGGAGTTGCAGCTTCATCACAGAGGCAGACAATCAGGGGCGGACTGACAACTCATGGGGCCCCCAGGCAATAGGGGATCATGGGGCCCCTGTGTCCTTGCCCAAACTCAAAAAAGCCTATGAAAAAGGTACCAGGGGCATCTCATGGGGCCCCCTACTGATCCCGGGCCCTCGGGCAGTGCCCAAGTTTTCAAATGGTCAGTCCGCCCCTGCAGACAATGTAACTTTATGCTGCACAGGACTACAGGGACCAGGATGCTTTGCAAGGAGGAGGGTTGGTGAGCCATGTGTGCCTTTGTAGAGGACATGTGGGAGGATAGTCTGCAGCCCTTACTGTTTAAGTACACTGACACTGTTTCCAGATTGGCAGCGGGTGCTAAGGACAACGGTTATCTACAGCAGCTGAAGTCAGCGCCAAATGAGATCATCGGTACCAGTCACCAGTGATGGCAGTTACTGAAAGCAACGACATCTCCCACCACAAAGAGAGAGAGGCCAGAGTGTTGGAAATCGCACAGGAGGCATGTAACCATCCCAGGTGAGGCACTTCAGAGAATGGACAACAGGAAACACTTGCAAGAGAGGGAAAGCCCCATTCATCATCCCTTCAAGCAGTTAACCCCTGGAGACTGTTCTTCTTGGATGTGATGAGCAACTGCTAACCAGTGACATGTCAGTCCTTAAGAGCGCGCCACCAATTCACTAACACAGGCCTGTGCAACACATAGACTCACACAGTGTTACAATCCTACAGCATACAAGTGAATTTGGGACTGAGCCTAAAGAGACGTCAGTTTAGCTGGGGACATATTGCTACTATAGTTGCAGGGGGTTAATGCTGATCTATAGCTATACCAGTATATACGTATATACATGAATATTGTGTTTATTGATGTTATTGTGCCAGTTCTAGAGGGTTTGTGTATTCAGTGCATTTAACTGCTATTTTCCAAGCTAATTTGCAGTCTATTTGCAGAGTTTTACCTCTCTTATTACACCTGTTATAAAACTTCCCACAAGGTGTACTGGTGTGCTGTGGATCCAATATATATGGTTCATCACTGAAGAAAGGACAGAAGTGCCCATTAATTCCAGCGGCTCCTTCGGGGGTGAGTGCTACACGTGGAAGGTTGAAACAAAATAAACCGTATTATTTTCTTGCACATGATTAGATGTTGGAAGTGGGCTGAGCTTCATCTTATTCACTAAGCTAAGTGAAAATTCTCTTGTAAAGTGAACAGCTTATTTTCTTGTTGAAAATCAATGATAACCAAATATGTCCTGACCTGAGAATTCCATCTATGATATTGATTAAATATTATAACCTTTTATTCATATATAACCTTTCAGTTCGAAAACCATAATTAACCATTTACCGTTGCAATAGAAAATTGTGCTTGCACAGTGTGAATCATGAACAAACAAAATGAACATATTGTAATATAATATGTTTGCAAATAGTTGCTATCAACATTATAAACAAGAAAGTAACATAATCAGAGAAACGCTACATACCACCCACCCATCAGCTGTGTAATCATCCTTAATAAAGGAAAAAAAGCAGTCTAGAATTCATAAGAACTCCAACTGAAACTCTTGATTAGCCTTATTGGTGACACTTACTACAGCAGTATAACCTACTAATCTGACTAGTTTCTTTCAGCAATAGTACATTTTACTGGTTACCACCCCTACCTAGCAGGGGTACTGAAATAAAAACAACCCACCTCCACTGAGAGCTCTATGGTCTGCTTTGCTAGTGCCAATGCTAAAACAAAGGCAGTAGTATTGGGCTGTGCATTTATATACACAGATTTATATGTTCCTAGTATCAGTGCACTATATAGTATCTACGTCTGAAATGTAGTAGTCATGAATAGAGCAACTAAATTGTTTTAACCTCCCTGGCGGTATGATTATTTCAGATTTTTGGTGCTGAAAGCGGTACCTATTATTTTGCATGGAAATATGTAGTTTTTTTTATTGTAGGCTGTAATATTTAGGAATAACTCACTGAAATCTGTCCGAACAAGAGTCTAGTAAACATTCCGGATATGATAAAATTTGAAACACAAAATCATAAATTATAATTTAATAAAAATAATAATATAATAATAATACATTTAATTCAATAATATAATCAAACCAAAAACACTGAAATCTGAAATAGAGCGCCAAGTTCGCACATCACTGAGCAAAGTCGCAAAATCGTTTTCAGTGTCTGATGACGAATTTCCCCATGAATCATTATCACTCAATTCTGCAAGTGGTTCTAATTTACTATCGCTGTTCTCTAGCTGATCTAAACCCGCTTTTGACCTAAAGAGACGCTTTTTGGACGCCATGGACTTTTCTAAGTTTCCAGGCAGAAAGAACAGTCAAAAATGCAGGCAGGGGACAGGACAAAGCACTCGGGACAAAATGTATGTGAAATGGTTTGAAAGAGCAATGTTTTACTATGTAAAATTAGTTTTGAAAAAAATGACATTTTTTTAACATTTCAAATTTCCCGCTGCCGGCGGCGCCCGTACGTCCCGATGTCACAGGGACCGGAACACAGAAGCCGGATGCCGGCATCAGCCAGAGGAGATGGCCGGGGATGCCGCAGGGGACACATCACGGGAGCCAAGGACAAGGTAAGCTCTGCAGGGACACCTTATGCAGCGCCGCATGGTAAGCCCGAGTGTAGCTCGGGGTTACCGCTTTTGGTACAGAAACTTTACCCCGAGCTACACTCGGGAATACTGCCAAGGGGGTTAAAGATGTCTTAATAGTTTTCCTTTAAAAATTGAATCACATTCGAGGCATGTTGGTGTGATAGGCATAATGGTAGCTTTTAATACATATCTAACCACAATAGTTACCTAGGTTCCAGCAAATAGATGATCTAAAAATCTAAAATTAAGTGGATATCAATGAAAATTCCCACCACTTGACTGTTTTTCCAACTCTTGCCAAACACCCCTATAGCGTTTGACAAGCGTTGGTCTGGTGTTTGCGGAGCGTTACAAACGCTCCGCAAATGCCGCATGCATGGTTTAGCAGTGGATGCAAGGCAGTTGGCAAGTGTTAAAAATGCCCCACAAATGCCTATAATGAAGTTTGAATGGTGTTAACGCTCCACAAATGCCCCGCATTCGCACTGCAAACTCCGGCCAGGCGTTTGCGGAGCGGCACCATAGACTTGAATAGGAGGCTTCAACTCCTCCTGACTCGACCGGAGGCGTCCGTTTTGCC